TAGATACGTATCGAGATACTTAAAAAAATCAGGATCTACTTTAGTATCTAGATCCTTTTGAAAGTATCTAGATCCTTAGATACAAGATACATTTTATTTTACCCAACCTGATTGCAACTCCACACCGTGTGGGCCACATACTCTATGGATATCCAGGATATATACCTACATTGGATATTCTTGATATCTCCCGTAAGAGATGAACAATACGAAAACCGTAGTGCTGTGTATAGACTCCCGTACCCTAATCTATAAACTGAACTACTGTTTTCGTATTGTTTATCTTTTACGGGAGGAAGGAAAGAAGGAAGGAAGGCAATCTATAAATAGAAGCATCACCATCAACATCTGTAAATAAAAACAAAAGTTCAATTTGTTCTATGCAGCTGCTTCAGTACTTAACAGATAAATCTAAGGAGTTGCAATCTTTAAAACATTACGAAATTATTTTGGAGATTTTCAAAAAATACAATACGGTTTTACCTTCATCTGCACCAGTCGAACGTCTCTTTAGCACAGGAGGACAAATTTTGACGCCAAGGCGCAACAGGCTCAGCGACGAAAATTTTGAAATTCTGTTAATGTTGAAAAAAAAATAAACAATACAAATAATAAAAAGATATTTTATTTCTTTTTCCCTTCAACCCACTTTGGAGTGCGAAGTGCATAAAGTAACTCTTAGGCACTAGTGAGTAAAGTTAAACAAAAGCGGCTTTGAAGGCATTTTTCTTCGTTCTGATAATTTTGAATTTGTACTACAAATTTTGTAGTAAGCTTTCATATGGCGCGTAAATATAAAATTTATTTCCGTTTTTCATAGATATTTTATCAAAACAGTTTTATTTTATAGTTAACACGCTTGTTTATAAGGTCCAAAAAATTTTTTTTTGTCATTTAGTTTTTAAGTTTTTTTAACATCTGGAAGTAACTTAGATACTTTTTGAATGTATCTGTATCTGTCCCCAGATACTTTTGGGAAAATGTATCGGTATCTGTACCCAGATGCATCTACCAGAGAGTATCTGTATCGGTACCTAGATAATGAAAAAAATGTATCGGTTACATCACTGGTTGTTTCTTTGGGTTTTTTAATATAAAAATTCTTAAATTTAATTATTTTTTTATTTGTCCATCTACTTTTGTCCAAACTTAATTACGACTTATTAACTTTTTGGATAATTAATAATTATAAATTTAATTCATTGGCATAATTCTTAGTACCTCTATGTATATATACATATATATATATATATATATTTCATCAAAATTATATTATAAAGAAAAATCTTTTAATTTTTTCTTTACAAGACCTAAATTAAATTTGTCTATCTACTTTTGACCAATACTGTATATACCTATATATTCGTATGTATAGGGGAAGGTGTTGTACCTTTGGAGTACTTTTTGAGTACAGTTACGACGGCATTGAAACGGTTAACCCTTAGTTGGTTCGAAAATTTACTGTCCCAGATAACATTCTTGATTTTTATTTCAAAATCACATGATGATTTTCATTATGTGAGCTCATTATGCACACGAGGTGATGTATATGATCCCGAGTGAAAATGATTTCAGTATTCGGCGATATTTTAAGTATTCCAAATCGTCTCCCTTAGTATTCGAAATATTCTGAAAAACCCTGTTGCAGTCTACCACGATATTCGGAGTATACCTATATCTTAAAAGCAGTTTTCAAAACGAATACTTTGGTCAAACGAGTATTCCGTCCTTTAAAATATTTTTTCGCTCGAATACTGAGTTTTTCCACCGGAGACTTTACTTAGAAAAACTTATAAAAATTAAATCTGTTAAATTTGGGAGATTTCGGTTTCCATATAGAATATGTTTGAATACTTTACTTAGAAAATACTTTCAATCTACATCATTTTTTATTTTTTTTATAATAAAGTATTAACACATATAGTAAATTTAAAAGTAAACTACGTACACGTCATCAATAAAACAAAAATTTTACGCATTGGTACCAACACTAAATGACTAAATCGAAGTCTGTAATTGAATATTTGAATGCATTTTAACCAAATTAAGTTGGCAACAATTGTGATGTTGTCATGTTTACATTCAAATTTTTCATATTTAAATGACACATAAAAAAGAATTTGACGTTGTAGAATTTCGAAGCTGTCAGTTGTGTTTTTGAATATTTCGTTTAATTCGTGTATTATTTCGTTTATTTTGTTTGTTGTTTGTGTTATTTTATATCGTTTAAGTTTTCATTGCCGTTTTTGTTTTTGTTATATATCGTTTTTTTGTGTTTCCTATATTTAAAATGCCGAAGCATTTAAATAGTCGGAGTCAAGAGTTGGTGTCATCCTTAATACGCTATTTTGAGGCAGAACGGGATAATAATGGACCTTTGTTACCTTTAACAGCTGTTAGAGAGGTAAATAGGATTATTATTAATTATATATTAGAATATTTAACAAAATATATGTTGGATACATGAAATAATAATATATATACCAGAGACTGACTTTAGATGGCAAAATTTTTGGGTTTTATATCAGAAAATGTCTTTAAAAATGGCTAAAAACATACTTTTGGCGGTGCATCATATATAGTGTTGTAAAAAAAAACGTTTTTTTTCAGTTGAAAAAAAACACGTGAAAAAAAACATGTTTTTTTTCACTGAAAAAAAACAAAAGTTGTTTTTTTTCATCCCCACCCACGTATGGTAAAAGGGCGCCTCGCTGTCGGCAACGCTGACTCAGCATATCTTATAGTCTATACGGTATTATAATAGTTAAGACCTGCGGCTTTATAGGTTGATGTTTGGTAGAAATGCCGAAAAGAGAGGGCTCAGGGCGAAAGCCAACAACATTAAACAATTTGTTTAAAGATATTACTAATGGTAAGTAAGAAACTATAATTAATTAGTATTTAATATTCTTCTAGTGACAGAATGTGCCAAAAATTCTTTCCTCAGCAGTGACATTTCGAAAATTCTGTCACTTAATATATTTTGATGCAAAAACAAATTTGTTAACTAAAAAATGGATTAAAAATTCATTAGGTACCTACCTATTGGACGCAATTTTTTAACATATGTACACTTCAATCACTTGAACTAAAGTTCAACATGCCAAATTCTAATTGTAATTTACAATAAATAACTATTAAATTCAATTGTACATTTAGGTACAATTAATTAAACAGTTTTAATTAATTTGTAATTATAATACAAATAAACAAAATTTTTATATATTTAAAATAGAAAACAAAAAGGCAAAGTTAATAAAAATAAAATATAAATAGATAGGTACATTATAAATAAAATATAGATTTATTTTTTATTTGTTTATAGATATTGTTATTTATATTAACTTTTTCTTTTTGTTTTCTATTTTAAATTCCTACATTTGTTTATTTGTTAAATTCACAATGTTAATACAAAAAAAATAATTATTTAAAATAAAAAAAGGTAACAATGATAAAGATAAAAGTAAAATTAAATATATGTAAAACAATTTTGTTTATTTACAAATGGATAAGTTACTTTTTTAAACCAATTCATTGGCATAAAAAATACAAATATCTTAAGAATCAAAGTAAAACTAAAATTAAATTTTTAATAAATAAAAATATCAAATGACACCCCTATTCCATTTTTTAGTTTATAATTATTTAAGCTATTGCGTTTTTTATTAAAAATAAAATATTACATGCATTATATTAATAATTATTGTTATAAACACAGTATACGACAAAAAAAATATTTCCCTCTCAGGAAAAATTCCTACAGATTTTAAAAACAGACTTAAAAAATGATATCCTTGTTTTGGCGTTTTTCAGATCACGTCATATAGACTATATATAATGCGATCCAATAAAATTTAATTCATGGTTTTGGGACAAAATATAACTCGATAACAGTTCGACTTTATAGTTTTTAAAAATATTATTTACTGAATGAATGGACAACCATGAGAACCACATTTTAAAATTATTTTAATTTTATACAGGGTGTTGCACATTTATGAAATATTATTATAACAAATGGTGTTTTTTCAGTTGGTATCACAACCGAAAAAATACCACTAGAGCTTTAAATTCATTGATTGTAATATAAATAACAATTTTTTATTGAAAAAACAAAATCGAAAATATTTTTTTTTATAAAAAAAAAACAAAATAAAAACTCAAAAGAAATTTAAAAATATTCCTATATTTTTTATGTATAACTTTTGTATTTTTGATAAAAAAAATTGTATAAATCAAAATAATAAGAATGGCTGCGTAAAAAAAATTAAATGACGTGATTTCGAGAAAAGTTGATACACGGGGACGTTTTTTTAACTTTATTTTCAAAATCTTTTAAAATTTTTTATAGGTTTTACTAAATCGTGTTGTACAGCAGCCATTATTATGCTTATAAGCTTAAGCCTAATTATTACAAGCATAATAAACATGTTTGCAATAGTAACTATTGTAAAAGAATTTAATTTAATTACGGTAGCTTTTACTCACATTTTTTTATTGTAACGGACGCTACAAAAATTCCCGAGTAACGTAAAAATGGCTGACAGTGTACATTTAAAATTTTAGATTTTTACTAGATTCTGTATAGCTTGATAATTAAGCTATATGAATTATAATAAAAATCAAAAATTGCATTTACAATGTAAAAAGTGACTGTTATAATATTTCTTTGTCGCTTTAAACATATTTTTGTCGTTGGTTTATTTTTTTCTGAAGGGCTGATCCCAACCATATATTATTGCATTTGTTTTATAAAAAAAATCACCTTACACCATATTAAACCCAAAACTTTTTCCCGAAACATTCGAGAAAACATTTTTGAGACGTATTGTGTCCAAATCGGGAGTATAAGAAACAATATGTATAAAACATATGTTAAAATATATTCAGAAATCAAATATTAATATAATATTTGTATTAATTTTATTTTATTTATAAAGATTTAATCATATTCAATTGCAAGTCCGCGATCTAATTATAATTATAGAATATTTTTATAGGTAGCAAGAAAACGCCTTTTGTAAAATGCAATTATTGTTCCAAAGAGGTGGTTAAAAATGGGACTAGAATGGCCCAACATTTAAAGAAATGTTATAAATGTCCTAATTTGGTAAAACAAAAATATTTAAAAAATGTTACTGATAAGGAAAATATAGAAATAAATGTCATTTCATCACCTGCATCATTATTAAATTACGTTGATAAAATAGTTCCAAAAACAGAACAGAAAGCTACTGAACTTTTAAGTAGAGCAATATTTGCCAGCGGATGTCCTTTTAGGTTAGTTGAAAGTAAATATTGGCAAGAATTTTTCAAATTTATAAGACCTGCTTTTACGGTCCCTAGCAGGCATCATATTTCTGGAGACCTTCTTGAGAAAGAATATGAATCTGTTAAATCTACTGTTGAAGAAAAAATTGCGTCAACTGATTCTGTAGGGATTATGTGTGATGGGTGGAGTAATATTCGCAACGAGTCCATAATCAATTTTGTTGTTACTACTCCTACTCCACTTTTGTACAAAACTTTGGTCACGGGAAAGCAGCCTCATACATCTGAGTATTTAGCTAATCAAATAAATAATGTTATAGAAAAAATCGGCAGCCAAAAAGTTTTTGGTTTAGTAACTGATAATGCAGCTAACATGAAAGCGGCTTGGAAGATTTTAAAGAATATGAACGCTAATACCAACCTGTATATGTATGGATGTTTTGCTCATTCCCTTAATTTGTTGTTCACAGATTTTAGAAATTTAAAAACACTTAAGGATTTTATAAATGAAGTTGTCTCTATTATAAAAACAATAAAACAATCACATATTTTATTAGCTGCTTTTAAAGAAAAACAAAATAAAAATGCAAGTATCTTAAAATTGCCAATAGTAACCCGATGGGGTTCTATCGTAACAAGTTTAGAAAGTATTTCTATAAATAAACATGCTTTACAATCCCTTTGCATAGACGATAATATTCAAGGCATTCTTCAAAAGCATGCGTCATTCAAAAATAACATTTTAAATGAAAATTTTTGGGTAAACGTTCAAGTTTTTCTAGAGATGTTAAAGCCTATAGCAACTGCTATAAAATTTATCGAAGGGGATCAACCGCAGATGTCTTCTATTGTTGGAATTTTTAAAAATCTAGAAGAGCATGTTAACAAAGTATTACCCAATTTGCCCTTTACTGACGAGGAAAAAAAAGCAACAATAGAAATAATTCAAAAAAGAAAAAAATTTTCAATATACATCGTCCATCATATTTGCAACTTATTAGACCCAAAAACAAAAGGAAATAATCTAACTCCCGATGAACAGGAAAATTAGTTAAATAATTTAAGTTATTCCTAATTTAATGTAATATTTTTTGCAGACGGACGCAATTCAAGCTATTTTTGAGGCTTCGCAAAAAATTCCGGAGATTGATGAAAACACAATTTTAATGGAGCTTGCAAATTATCAAGCAAAGGAAGATTTTTTTAAAAAAGATTTTTTATGGCTGGCTGTTGAAAAGCTATCTCCCATTGCATGGTGGAAGGGGTTTTGTAAAAATACACAAATTTCAAAATTAGCAGTTAGATTTTTATCGCTTCCTGCCACATCTGCGGCTTGCGAAAGAAGTTTTAGTACATACGGATCCATTCATACAGCAAAAAAGAATAGACTTACTAACGAAAAAGCTGCAAAGTTAGTATATATATCACACAACCTACGATTAACAGAAGTCCAACTTTCCACTCCAATACGAGAAACTGACATAAAAGAATTAAATAATATGGACACAAGTATACCCAGCACATCAAAGTCTTTGGATGCTTTAGATGTTGACTCAATCACACCGAGTACATCCAAATCTTTAGATGCTTACAAATCTGATGAGAAAGAAAGCTCAAGCTCGGACGATTCATCATTTAGTTTACATGACACATCGTCCGAGCTTGACTTTGAATCAGATTAATTATTATAATGTCTAATATTTTTAAAGAATTTACTTAATTTTTATTTTATTTGTTTTAAAAAAGTTTGTTTACCTTTTTTTGTTAGAATGTTTGTTATGTTTTTATTTCAATATATATTTTTTAAATAATTTGAGTATTTTTGACCATTTTTTTGAAAAAAAAACATTTTTTTTTAAAAAAAAACAAGGACCTCTGTTTTTTTTCTAAAAAAAACATTTTTTTTTGAAAAAAAACAAGACTGTTTTTTTTCAGTGACAACACTAATCATATAGGTTATAAAAACTCAGACTTTTGACATTTTGGTATTATTCATGTAAACGCCATCTATCGCCCTGTAGTTGCACTACCACTTTCCCTTGATGCAAGGATTTTAGCATCACATTGACAACCTTGCCCGATCAGCTGATTGATGACGTGTACGTAGTTTACTTTTAAATTTACTATACAAATATTTATATACAAAATGTAATAGTTAATAAATAACATAATGTTTTGTTTAAAGTTTTAAGACAACATGAGTGATGAGTTTGGTAGATTTTGGACTTGGACATTGTCTTTAAAAGGTTAATCTGCAACGTTTCGATTAAAAATACTAATAATCGAAATATCGCAGAATATTTTTTTAAAGGCAATGCATGTCCAAAATCTAGCAATCTCAATGTAATGGTTTGTTTAAGCAATTGTCATTTTTATAAAATAATAAACCTTTATTCAATTTCTAGCATATTGACAGGTAAAATTACATAGTTTGAATTTTCGGGCCCTAATGTGATATAAAAACAAACAGACATGAGATTTCGTACATGAGTAACGCATAGGTACATCTTCAGTTTGCACAGCACGATTAACAAAAGAAATCGGTACTTTCTTTTCTTCCATATTTACAAAAAAAGGCAATGTAATTTGCAACTTTTTAAGTATAACTAAATAGCGGGCATCACAATTTTCTGTGCAAAATTTGTTACATTCACAATTAGATACTTTCACAAAGCAGTATACAATGCCAAAATCACAGGAGGCATTATTTTTATATGTAACGCACATTGAATTCATTTTTCTTTGTCGGGAATATACAAAATCTTAAAAGCCGGATCTGTCAATTTTCTTAGTCCGGCCCATAGATTAATAACATCTAAATTCACAGCGCTGATAAGTACGATTCCTTCTTTATCTTTGAGAGACCGTTTAAAACTTGTAAGATTTAAAATGATGTGGGGTTAGTTAACCAGTAATTGACCAGTTAAGGAAATTTTCGTGAATAAATTATTATATTTTCCTCTATTTTTAGTTTAAAATAAAATAAAAAATATCATTGAGTTTAATTTTGTTTTAAGATTTGATAACAGCTGACTAAAAAATAAAAAGAGTTTCTATGCCGACGAAAAAAAATTTAATGCACGAAAATTCATGATTTTCCAGTGGTTGACCAATGCCTTGTAAGCAGATATCATTAATAAAACTGTGCCATCTAGAAGTTTAGGGGTAAAACACTATGCAAATAATATAAGTTTTTAATTAGGTAATACAGGGACCTTGCTTTTATCATTTAATCGGTAAGTTGGTCAATAACTGGTTGATGGTCAATTACTGGTTAACTTGCGTTGTAAAAGGAGTTCATTTATCCAAACAAAATCTTGCAATAAACGATATTGTAGACGTGGACTATGGAAACGGAAAAATTTACGCAGCGAAAATTTTACGAAAATCCAGTAAGTAACATAACCTCATTCTTTAACCAAAACAATAATAATAATGCCGGCAATATTTTTTAATGCATAATTTTAGATAACAAAACTTATTTCTAGTCGCTAGGGGTATCGACAACATAACCTCATTCTTTAACCAAAACAATAATGCGGGCGATATTTTTTAATGCATAATTTTAGATAACAAAACTTATTTGGAGTCGCTAGGGGTATCGACAACTGGGAAAGTTGTAACCCCATCCCTTTCGGAAAACAATCCAAGGGCTCACCAAAGAAAAATTAAATTCAATCCAATCCCCAAAACAAAAAAAGTCAGTCACATAGATGAATTTATCGAACCAGAGCTGCTCGAAGATGATGATGACCAGATGGGCGAAGCTTTTATGGATTATAAAAAGAATAATGATGAGACTGAAAACACGTTCGAAAAAGAGGAAAAAAGCGAATCAAATAAAAATTTAACGTGCAAAATGTGTGAAAATATACAAAGTAAGTAATATTTTACTTAGGCAGCATTGAATAAAAATATTTTTTTTAAAGAATGTTATTGTTAAAGCAAACATGCAAACAAGTAGTTGTCCCTGTTTTACTGTGAAAAATAATGTGTATTACATGGAATAAAAAACAGCAATGCAACTCATGTGATTGCAGTCCTCGCTTTGCTCTGACAACAAACTTCACACTCGTCTGCAATTGCCGCGTTTCAACCCTTCTAATGCAACCTACTAATTTCCTTTCCTCTAGTACTATAAAATTGTGTGATATGCGTAGAATTTTATCTACTTTATTTAATTATTTAAACCATATTTTACTAGAGCACAGTGAAATTAAAAAAATTTGCATAAAATTTTAACGAATCTCCTGTGGGCTTAAATTAAGATTTTTAAAGAAATTTTTAAATAAATCTATATTATCCAATTCCTTCTCTTAGTTACACCAGAAATAATTCTCCTCCAAGAGCACTTTTTTACTCATTTAACCGAGCGTTATAGAGATCAAATGAAACAAAAAGTAAGTTAAAATCATTTTGGACCCAAAACCTATTTTTTTAATAAAATGTTCACAATTTTTCAGAAAGGCTCGAAGAAAGACAAAGAATTAAAAGAATTAGAACATTGGCAAATCCCTTCATATTCAAAGGTAAAAGAATTCCGAACCCAGTGGTATAACAATTTAACAAAGGGCCCTGGATTTAAATCTTAAATTCGTTCCCCCTCTCTATGATAAAATAAATAAAAAGTTTGCGTATATATATTATATATATTAGGATGGTCCTTAATATTTTTTTGGCATTGGTTACAAAAAAAATAAAAAAAATTCTGCCAAGTTTTAGCTCTTAAAAGTTTTTACTCACAATTTTTAATTGTGACGGGCGGGACAAAAATCTCCGAGTAACGTGGAATGACCCATATATACAGGGTGATTCAAAATTCGATGTACATATTTTAGGAGCGTATTTTTTTGGTCAAAATAAGACTTTTCTTTCCTTCGAGCTACAGCCATTGTTGGGTTGGGTGCAAAAAAATCGATTATTTAAAATTGTGACTAAAGTGACGTCTCAACTATTCTTAAAATTTGCATGCCTAAGTGTAAAGAATGATTACAAACTTAAATCTAGAAATCGCAGCCCAATAAGTTTTGATGTTTTGAAAATACTCTCCTTCCATTGATCACGATTTTATTGCAAAGGGTTAGTTGTATGATGGTGGACGAGTGGTTAGTGCTGCTGACTACAAGCCGGAGCAGGGGTATGGCTGTTTATTTGTGTTTGTCCTATTGTGTAATAGTCCTTCGGAGGGGACTTTAAGCCCGCGGTCCGTTCCTACCCCTAACCCGCACAAGCCATTCAGTTGGCTTATGGGACTTCTTAAGAAGTAAGGGTGGAACTAAAAGAGCACTTTTGTATATAAACTTTTTTGTATCAAAATTTTAAATTTTTTCATGGCCAACAAAATTATGATGTTTTGGCCAATAAAAAATATGACAGATGTCACGTTTTGACAGATGTCTAATAGCAAAAAATAAATAGGATGCCTAAAAAAACAGGGGCATGCAAATTTTTAGAAGGTTTGATCCGTCAATTTAGTCACCATTTTAAATAATCGATTTTTTGCGCAACTTAACAATGGCTCTAGCTCGAAGGGGGTGCATTTTAGAACACATGTTTATAGGAAAGAAAAGTCTTATTTTGACCCAAAAAATACGCTTCTAAAATATGTATATATGTATGTATATATATATATATATACTGTTATTATTTCAGTAATTCAGTAATATACCTACTGTTATTAGTTCAGTATTTTTTTTATGAGAAAATTGTAATTGTATATACCAAGTTGGTATTGCCAATCTACATATTTTTGGAAAGTTTTACTTTTATTAAATATATACGTACCACCGTACAAAACGACAAATTACCAGAATTTTTTTTAAGTAGTATTGACTCTCAATTGTTCGCTTCACATTTTTTTTTAAATTATCACAAATTATTTCAAGCGTTTTTTTGACGCTTTAACCGGGCACCACTGGCACCATTGTAGTTACGCCACTGGTATCATTAAATGATATAATAAAAAAATGTATTCTAGGTTGAGCTTGTCGACAATTCGGGCGTATGGATTGAGCATCTTCATTTAAAGCAATTTGAAGGTACTGTCGGCGAAACAGATTATAGGGAAATGATTCGCAAATTGCTACGCGAGTTGGTCGGGGACAAAAAACTTGCAAATTCCTGTGCTCTTGGGCACTCATTCGATGGGGCCAGTTCCGCAATCAACCCTCAAATTCTAAAAACTATTAAAGGTATTTACAGTTTTACTAGTTTAACACTTTAAAAACTTTTTGCTGCATAAATTTTATTACAATAATTTTATTAAAAAACAAACTAAATACCAAACTTTAGGTTAAATATTCAATTCAATCCGAGAGAAATGCGTAAATTGTGTATGTTATTATTGCTAACAAAATTTAAACCCAACTTTTAAATTTCTTTCAGAGTATACTCAAGATAAATATAAAAACTGGACAAATACAAGAGATTTCAATCGAATAGTAAATTTGTTTTGCGGGCGAATAAGATTTTCTTTAAAAGTAATTCATACTTTTTTATGAGTCACTTTTATTTTTAACATGTTAAAAAAATTTTTACAGGATGGGAAAACATTAACAGAAAGGTGTTCAGGAAAAATTTTAAAAAAGCCTAAGGAAGACCCCAATTATGTTATGAAATCTGCAGTGGCGCACCCTCGGGCAAGCTCGTCGCAGTACCCTCCATCATCAGAAGGTATCAGTTATGCAATGAAATCTGCCCTATCAGAGGCACACCCTCAGGCGAGCTCATCAGTAGACAACTTATCAGTGGCCATGGCACAACCTCAGTGGAATTATTATAAACCTCAAAGCAGCAACTGGTCGCAGTACCCTTCATCATTAGAAGGTATCAGTTATGCAAGGAAATCTCCCCCATCAGAGGGACATCCTCAGTGAAGCCCATCAGCAGACTTATCAGTGGCCATGGCACAACCTCAGTGCACCAACTCGTCGCAGTACCCAACCCAACCCAACCCATCATCAGAAGGTATCATATCATCAATTATATGGACAAAATTATAAAAAAAATGTTAATAATAAAAATTAGTTTAATTAAAATTAATTGTCTTTTTTTATAATCCTTTATCTCCATATGGAATACTAAGTATTCCAGACATTTTACCACTAGAATACTGAGTATTTCAAATAGTCTTCTATTGAAATACTGAGTATTCAAAACAGTATTCTAAAGTCTACCATTGAAAAACTTTCGGAGATTTAAAAAGAGTATTCGGAAATATTCGCTTTGGCACTGAGGAATACTTTTTGGAATACTCGGTAGACTGAGTATTCGATCGGAAGGCTTATCTTTTTTCACTCGGGATATCACATGAACGTCACTTAATGATTTTAACCAATGAGTTCATAACGTACTCGTAGTGAAGTAGTCATTTGAAAATCATGGGTGATATCAATGTGATGGCGAGATGAATTCATACGATGCACACACTATAAGCATTCGAATTTCGCGCCTTTTTCGTGTGCGCGGTCAGTATATTTCGGATTTGTCAATGCACAGAACAGCGTTTGACATCTGAGAAACAATTTGTTTATAGTGTAAAGTGACTTTACTGAAGTTTTTGTGAGAAATTGGTTCAATCAATACCAGCAATAAGATTCGTAAGTATTTGTTCATTAATTAGCAATGTTTAGTTGTTTATGTTAACATAGATAACAAGTTGTAGTCTCTGATGTTAACAAGATTTTTTGTGCTGAAAAAACACACAACGACCTGGGCCGAATGGCATATATGCAAGTTGTAATGTTTTTTAAATTTATAGTCAATTTTATTTGTTAAACCTATAGGTACATAAAACGTAAAAATTGTACGGTACACTTAAGTTAATAATTATTAAATGTAGAAAGTGAGGTTAAAACACTGTTTTACATTTAAAATAAACTATAAATTAACCGTAAAATGCAATGCAAGTATTAAAGAACAAAAGATAATTTGCATTATTAAAAACAATAAAAATTTACTTTAATTGTTTACGTAAACGGGTTTTGCTAAATTTGTATGTTAAACTACACTACTCACAAAAATTAAGGGAATGAAAAAAAAATGCAAATTTTTCTTAGATTTTTGACGGGCTGTATTTCAGCGGAAAATGATCGTATCGCAAAAAAAATGCATTTTAAAGTTCCAAGACTCTAGTTTCCACATCTTGAGGTCAAAATTTTTTAAGAATTACGGTTTTGACACGATCCGAAGAAATAGAGCAAAAAAATTTTTTTCCAAATTTTTGATCTTTTTTTTCGCTCTACGGGCACAGAAAAATATTTTTAAACAAAGCGATGGAACAGATAGCTTGTTTATTCAACTTCAATTTCATTTTTTATTCAGCTTTATACGACCAATTGTCGCGGAGATATCCGAGATTAAACAAAAAAGGGCGCTTATGTCTTTAACCGTCAATATCTCTGCAACCAATAATCGTACAGCAAAAAAAAGGACAGTTTTGGAAACTGGAAGAAATTTCCAAGAAAATTTCATGAAAAAGTTCCAGAAAAAAAATCTTATCGGTGTACGATACCGGTTGGAAAAAAGTTAAAAAAGTGACTTTTTCCCTTATTTTGCTAGACATTGCAGGAATTTTTACACCTCAATATACCCCTGAAAACCCTGTAAATTTTCAGATCGATCCATTGAGTAGTTTTTCTGCCCCGAGCATCCAAAATTTTGAAAAAATTAAAGGAATAAGATTTTTATCCATTATCGTGGCATAATATTTTTTTTTCGTTTTGCTCTCAATTTTGCATCGACTCATCAGTAAATTTAAATGAAAAAAATTATAAAAAAAATTCGAAAATTGATAGAAAAAAAATTCTTTTTCGAAAAAAAAAAATTAAATTTTTTTTTTATTTGGTTGTTGTCATCTTTATCCCGTTGAATAAAAAATATGGGTTTTGTTTTCAAACGGTTTGTAACTTCTGTACTTTAATCATCTTTATTTTAATTTTATTAAATTATGTAATTAAAAGTCGATGTCCCCGAGATTCCGGCAATATTCGTGTAACGAATATTGAGGCATAAAAGTTTTATCTGCAAAGCTAATAAGTATTCCTAAAAATAGTTTTTCTTAAGACTACTCCGATTTTTTGTTAAAAAAAAATCCAATTAACAGTTTTTTTCAAAACTACTGTTAATTTTTGCAATTTTGGTGAAAAAAATTTACTGAAGGTATTTGAAAACTTTGGTTTTTTTTATTTTTGATTATGCCCAGGCGGCATTTATCTGCGACAGAAGTCGCTCAGTTAGTGACTCTGGTACAAGAGGGGAACAGATATCAGCAAGTCGGCGATATACTGGGCGTTTCTGCAATCGGTACCTAGAAACGGATGGTTACAGTCGACGAGCTGGCCAAGGTCGGCGTCGTGTGACGACTCCTCACGATGATTGGGCAATCAATCGACGCGTTCGTCAAGATCCTTTTGTTCCTGCGAACGTTATCGCTCGGGACTTTCCGAACCGCCGACAACAACAACTGCAACGACAGCGGCCGCTAAACATTTGCCCACAAACGGTTCGTAATCGTCTCCGTGAGATATAAAAACATTTTGTTACAGCGCGGATTTTGCAGAAAAGACACCCTCGTTTTTGAAAACCAAAACCTTCGAAACTCCAAGCCAAATTCCAACTCTGAACCCCAGCCAGAAAACCGACCACTCCCGAAATTTACCGAACATCTCGAATCGCGATTTGAGGAAAAAAATTGCATCGCATTACAAAAGGCGAAATTCAGTTGATTCGCTAAACGTGTCGGAAAGATTAAAGTAAGTGTTTACATTGTATAATTATACTCATATTTATTAATTTATAATTATATTCAAATTCGTTAAAAAATTTGTTTCTACACAGAAAAAAAGGAATGGTTAATTTAACTATATTAATTTAGTTGACCCATATTTATTTAAATCAACCGTGGGAAGGTTAATATAAACAAAGATTAGTTGGACGGTACTAAACCAGATAGTCATTTTATTTTTCTAAATTGGTTAAATTGTATGGTTCAGTTTACTAAATATGTTGTTTGTAAAATAAGAGTTACTTCAACCTTAAGCACTCTGTTAAAATGATTAAAACATTTGCCGTGCATTCCTGGTTGCATAGTATGTACCGATCGCGGCAAAGGCGGTGTAGTGTGGATCGCGTGATGTTCTTAAATCTCGCCTCTGTTGACTTACATGAAGAGTATATAAGGTGAGGTACTTCTTTGCTTTGGTGTGACACTACAAGTTGTTCGATACTAAAGAGACCTTGAATAGGTGGAAACAGCTGTCAATACTTGAAGTATTTTATTAAGTTGGTGGAACGCACTAAAACATTATCTCTGGCGAGGTGAAGGTTTAATTATCTGGAATAATACCTCTGGTATTATACTAGTAATGCGTCAAGGAACTTCCTGTTTTTTGAAGAATATAAGAAAATGGCTTAAAAATATGTTTCTAGTAGAAACATATTTTTAAGCCATTTTCTTTCTACTCCAAACATTTTAAGATCTTATTTTTATTGTTAGGTATATAAATGCGCCAAACGATATGGGTAAGTTGTACCAAGCCGTTAACCTAGTTAGGGTAACAAATTATATTTAGTCAATTCAACCTAATATATTTAGTACATTGGACTGGTAGGTAAAGGTCACTTGAACTATATAAATGTTTGTTTCAACCAAATATATAGTTGTAAAATATAACCAAATGCGGTTGTTAAAAGAACTAAATGTTTGGTTGGCTCTATTGAAACAACATATTTAGTTAAATGAAACAAATAATAGTTGGGCTAACTAAACCTTTTTTTCTGTGTAGGATTGTGGAAAACAATCAAAGTCTCATGATAGACATGCTTCATGCGATTTTCGAAAAATTGGACACTGCCCATAGCAGCAAAACGTCTTCGAGGTTTTGCGAGCAAAGAAACAAAATTACCGAAGAAATAAAGGTTCAAAAACTGATCAAGAGAATCAAAATCCAAATTTGATAAGTTTAAATTTATAAATTAATTTTTATTAGTTACATTAATTTAGAATACTATACGTTTTATTTTCCTGTTATGTTTTTTTTATTTTTTATTATTATAAATAAAATATTTTTGATTTAAGTGATATTTTTTTTAATACAATAATCTGGAATTATACATTTTTAAGCATAAGAATGTTTTGTCAAATCAAATAAAATTTGGCTAAAATAAACAATTTCCACGAACTTCTATTTAGTAAATACAATTATTTTTTTTTTGAAATATTAATATTTCGAAACAAAATTTTGTTATGTTAAATAAATTGCAATTAATTAAAAAATATTTGAACCAAACCAAGATGGTTTCAAATAATATTTTAAATTAAATTTACAGTTTATTTTACTCAACAAAATATTTTGTTAATTTGAAAAAAAATATTTACTAAATATAATTTCATATAAAATTATATATTCCATCCAAATTTTATTTGATCTGAGAAATCATTTTTCTGCGTGTATACAGGAGCTTTAGAGTTAATCATATGAGTGATTCTCTCGTAAATCACAAGTGAACTCACTATGAGCTCGTGGTGGGCAAACAACTGTGTGCGTATATGAGTTCACATGTGAGTCACTGACGATGTGTATGTGATTTTACAGTGATATCGCAATTGTTATCTGGGGTGTGTATAGCGTCAATTATTAAATATTTTATATTTTTAATGCATCGCAATTACTTTTGTGGGTGTATAATTTAATACTTTAGTGATAGAGGAGCTCCTTGGATGGGACTAGAATTAGGTGAGTGGATACTTTATTTTATTCTGATTTCTGTGGTGATATGAGAAATATAAAATTCCTAACCTACAAAAATGTATTACAAAAATTCATCTGTTGGGTGCAACTTGTACCTTGGGACAAACATTTGCATCTACCTTTGGACTGTCCCAAGGTACATGTATTTACAATTTCATTGTTTAAATTATTCTCAACAAATTTATATACCTAAATTAATACTAAATATAAATTTTCAGCGAAGCTGTTGATAAAAATTGTATGGAAGAAGCAGTAAATGATGTTTTGCAAAACAATATAAAGTTAAGGGAAGCAGCTAGACTCCATAATATTTGTAAATCTACCCTTGCTCGTCATGTCAAATTACACCAATCTGGAAATCTGTTTTTCAATACTCCGTGACGAATGCTATAAAAAAAATATTTACCGAAGAAGAGGAGAGGCACCTCCAAGAGTATCTGGAATTTTCAGCCCGTCTGAACTACGGTCTAAATAAACAAGATATTCGCATATTGGCTTACCAATATGCAGATGCAAATGGTAAAAAAGTACCTGAAAAATGGAAAGAAGAAAAAAAGCAGGCAGAGAGTGGTTGAGGTGGTTCTTACAACGTCATACAATGTTTTCACTTAGAAAACCTGAAGGAACCAGCCTGTCTCGTTCAACAAGCTTTAACAAAAAAAATGTTAATGATTTTTTTAAAAATTTAATGGATTGCCAAGAAAGGTAGGGGAGACTGGGGAGACTTAAGACAAGGGAGGAATGAGACACTGGATTTATTTGAATATATAAGACATTTAGCGCCATCTGTTGTAAAGTAGTTGAAAAGTGTGGTCAAATATGTTTCTATTATACCGATATAACTGTGTTTATACGTTTATAAAATCCTATCGGCAGTGCCTCTATCACGTTGTGGGTGAAAGTAAAATTATTGCGTTAGGTACTTTCATTGGTTATAGTGATATAAAAACTAAGATTTGAGTGGGTATTGTTGCATATTTACAAAAGGTATGTCTAAAATTGAATACATAGAGATTTAATGTATTTAGATCTTCCACAAACATTTTAGGTTAGGTTATTTTATAAAAGTACACATGAGGAGGCGTGAGACAATTGTTTTGGGGAGCCATGAGACGTCTCAAACCATCCTACAGTTCTATTTAAGCGTTTAAATTAACATTACAATTTATTACAGATAAATATGCCTCGCTTTTGGATTAAGAAAAAAAACCGAATAGTTCCTCCAGACGATATTATTAAAGTAGCAGTGAAGGAGGTTCAAGAAGGAGGCAAATTACGAGCCACTGCAAGAGAATACGACATAGACAAGCAGACGCTGGCTCGATATATAAAGAAAACCACTTTGGGTAGAGCTGAGGATAACATTTCTTATTCTCCTAATTATAAAAGTGCATTGGCATTCACGCCTGAAGAAGAAATCATGCTATCTGACTATTTAATCCATGCTTCGCAAATGCATCATGGCCTAACAGTTCTATGTGCACGTCAACTTGCTTTTCAGTTTGCCAAGGCAAACAATAAAAAATATCCTAAACAATGGGATGAAAAATCTATTGCGGGGTATGACTGGTATCGTGGCTTTAGACATCGCCATCCCAATTTATCTTTGAGAACTTCAGAGGCAACTAGTCTCTCACGATCGACGAGTTTTAATCGCACAAACGTTAATAAATTTTTTGATAATTTGGAGAGCGTTCTTAACCGTGAAAAATTCGAACCACGTCAGATATGGAATCTTGACGAAACGGGGCTTACAACGGTTCATAAGCCACCCAAAGTCCTAGCATCTAAAGGTGTTTAGCAAGTTGGAAATGTCACCTCCGCTGAACGAGGGACTTTGGTAATAGCTTGCTGTGCTGTTAGTGCTGGTGGGACGTTCATTCCACCCTTCTTTATCTTCCCCAGAGTCAACTTCAAAGACTATATGTTAGCTGATGCATTCCCAGGAAGTGTTGGAGTGGCCTAGTGGTTGGATGACAGCCGAAAATTTTGTCATTTTCCTGAAACATTTTTTAAAGCACTCTGGTTGTTCTATAAATAATAAGGTATTGCTTCTCATGCACAACCACGACAGCCAGATATCCATTGAGTCCTTAGGAAAAGCAAAGGAAAATGGTATTGTGCTGCTTACGTTCCCACCACACTGCAGCCATAAACTACAACCACTGGATGTCTCCGTCTACTTTCCTTTGAAAATTTTTTATAATTCAAAATGTAATTAGTGGATGATATCAAATCCAGAAAAGACTCTATCTATATATAATATTGCGTCACTGAGTAGTAAAGCAATTGAAATGGCTTTCACACCAAAGAATATTATATCCGGTTTTTCATCAACTGGAATCTGTCCACTTAATCGAGATATTTTTACCGACACCGACTTTCTTGGCTCTTCAGTGACCGATCGTCCCCTAGAGTCTGTTGACAATCTTCAAGAAGGTGCCTCAACTTCGGCCTCGACATCAACTGGACAAACTGAAGAAAAAGGTGATTCAAACATTGACGAGATTTTGGTTACCCCTAAAGTTCTTCGACCTTTACCGAAAGCGGGTCCGCGAATACAATTGAGAGGACGAAAACGTGGTTCTTCAAAAATACTCACCGATACACCTGAAAAAAATATTATAGAAGCTGAGCTAATGATACGAAAGAAAAAAAAAGTGTCATTGAAAGATGGAGGTCTTTTATCAAAAAAGGTTAGTAAACCTCAAAAGAAACCTCCAACTCCGCCTCCATCTTCTCCAAGTGATGATGAGGATGAACCTATTTTGTCAGATAGTAGCAGTGAAGATGTATCGGATATTGAAAGTCGTGGAAGGGAATTGGTTCAAATAAGAGAACTTGAAGATGTAAAAAGTTTTAAAATTGGAGATTTTATTTTAGTCAAGTTTGCTACGAAGTGTTCAACTGTTCATTATGTAGGTCGTGTAGTTAATAAGCAACAAGATGACTACGAAGTTAAATTTTTGCGTCGCCAACTAAAGACTTGGAAATTTGTTTATCCTCCTGTAGAAGATTTATCTACAGTGATGGAGCATGATATAATTTTAAAATTGCCCTCTCCAAATGACATAGGTGGAACTGAAAGAATTAAGTCCACCTTGTCGTTTGGAGTGGACTTCAGTTATTATCCAAATTTACGTTGAAAGTTTTTAGAACTATAATAAATATCTACCATTCATATTTAGTATTACTGTCTCAATCCTCCCAATTATCTGTCTCAATCCTCCCTCATTCAGGGAGACTTGAGACGACATGCACCACGTTTTAAAAATATTCATACTACACTTTGGTGGGTATTTATATATATCAGTGCCTAATCTATACAAAAACTCATATATCTGAACTTGTCTCAGTAAATACCAGACATGCCTATGGCACCAGATTTGGTGATCAACTATTGATACCCCAACATAGGTTACATTTTGATACCTTTTTATTTTTCTTAAGAACTATTAGAGTTGCCTACCTTATTTCGTTTACATAAATGGATAGATAAGTGCATACTTTCTCTTATGGTACTGTTTCTTGCCTTTTTCACATTTGTTTGCCTTAGATTTGCACCTTTAGATCATGGTTACCTTCTTAATAAGCATCTACATGGACGTCAATAAAACAACTGACTTTTGGTAATTAAACTCACTTTATTCTACATTCTTTTTAATATAAAATCTTGCTCCAAATGGTCAAGGATCCTTGGGGCCTAAAATAGCAAACATTTAGAACATATCTATGCCTGATTTTATGTTTTACTTACCATTTTTCTGCCTGTTTATGTTGTAAGATATTTTGAGGTTATGTTGATTGTTTTTATTGAATATAATTATGCCCGGGAGGTTTCGATGACTCTGAAGGGTAAATTGTTGGTTGGTTTATGTATGGAATCATTCTTGTAGTGTACTTACTGTGTTTTGGAAGTCGTTTTGAGAGATTTGTCTAGTCCGGAGATTCATACTTCTAAATTGACGTTCAGTCAGTGCTGCCAACTGAGGTTGGTTGAACACCCTAAACTACGCTACGAAATTTCAAACTTCTTATGTTCCGGAAGGGCTGCTGGTTTATTAGGTATGAGAGAATTTCCCTAGAAAAACCGGAAAAGCTTCGGCCATCATTGTTCGTCGAGATCTCGGTGTGAAACGTTGCTCGCAGGATATTTTGAAGTATCGTTTATTCGATCCGTTAGTTTATACGGGATTAATCTTCAAAAATACCTTTGGTGGACATTTTAAGGCTATTTGGTTTTTGTATTTTTGGCGATTTCGAGCCTTAAAGTCCTTCGCAATTTGGCGGATTCATCGAGCACGTTTTGGTAAGATCCGAATCTCTGCTTATTCTCATATCTAATAGCCCCATCTCTCTAGGACTGATTTCTGACAACATTCCCATAGCCGCATCCACCACCGTCCTGGATATTTTCCTACGTTTTTGCTTTTCTTTCTGAAAATACCGGACCAGGCGTAAGTACCAACATTTTTGTTTCCTAATTAAGGCAAGCGTGTAATTTTGTTCATTCCTTGTAGGGCTTCTCTTTCTTATTTGGACCTCTTTCTTATTAGGACCGCTTTTAGGACCTTTTTTTTGGCCCATTACGACTATTTAGGCCGTTACTACGTCGTAATATTTTAGTAAATAACTTTACTTACCTTTTTCACCATATTACTGGTGAATCTCCATTGCCTAGAGAACCCTTAAACCCGATTTGTGACCTTTAATACCGATTTGTGACGATTCATACACGCACCGAGAGACGAAGACTACATCTGAATGAGTAGCACCCCCGATAGTGACCAAGCATCCCTGGATTACGATAAGTTTTATCAATTTCTTTATTTTTTTATTATAAATTCAAGAATTTGTAGATGGCGTCTTTAAGACCCAATTTAATTAGTATTCATTAATTGCTTTAATTTACTTTTGTGTCCTGTCAAATAGACAGATTTACTGCGACTAATATATATACATTTAACTTACCTTATTAAATTAACTGTCAAAGTGACAGCCACTTATTCGTTGGTTTACGCAATCTTTCTAGTATTTTGAATAAGATTCTTTAGTTTTGTCCCACACAGGGAAAATTATTGGGAAATAATTAATTTCTTTTCTGGTTTATATATATATATATAAAAAGGTACCTAGGTACCTTACCCTAGGTAATTTTAATTTGGGAATTATAACTTTTTTTCTTTATTTCATTTGGCATAAGCTTTTTCAAAGACAAGTCCTAGAAAGATTGGTGTATACTGGGTTGCCTAACCCAAACTCATTATTCATTTTATTTTATTGTTTAATAACTCTTTTTCCTGTAAACCAGGTGATATCACTACGGTAGTATTTTTGGATAATAGTAAATTTATTTGAATATTTAAATATTATTTATATGGGGTTGAACCCCCTCTTTAATTAAATTTGTAGTAATTTTTATCTGACTGGTGTATTTAAACACTAAAATTATCAAAACCCTTGTACATAGAACTAACCAGACGATTATACGATCTTAAATATATGTGATAATTTTGAATATAGCCTTTTTCTTTTAATTTAGAGTATATATGGTAATTTATATGTTCTTTACTTT